ACACTCTTCTGACAGAATGGGACAGATTCTCCAAACAGAAAATAAACAAAGAAACAATGGACTTAAATGGAACTCTGAAACAAATGGGCCTAACAAACATTTACAGAATAGCCTACCCCAAAACTACTGAATATATATGTTCTTCTCATCAGCTCATGGAACATTCTCTAAGTTTGATCATCTCATAGGCCACAAAACTTGACACATTTAAAAAAATAGAAATTATACCATGTATCTTCTCAAACCACAGTGGAATAAAATTTGAAATCAATTCCAACAGAAACACTCAATTCTACACAAAGTCATGGAAATTAAACAGCCTACTACTGAAAAATTGTTGGGTCAAGAAGAAAATTCAGATGGAAATCAAAAGATTCTGTAAATGACAAAGGGGAGACAAGTTATTGAAACGTGGGATTCAGCAAAATCAGTCATAAGAGGAAAATTCATAGCCTTAAATGCCTACATCCAAAAGACAGAAAGATCAAAAATCAACAATCTAATGAATCATCTCAAGGAATTGGAAACAGAAGAGCAAACCAATCCCAAACCCAGCAGAGGAAAAGAAATAACTAAGGTCAGAGCAGAACTAAATGGAATCAATAACAAAAGAATTATACAGAAGATTAATGAAACAAAAAGTTGGTTCCTTGAAAAGATAAACAAAATCAACAGGCCTCTCACTAGATTAACCAGAAACAGAAAAGAAAGGACCCTAATAATCTCAATCAGAAATGAAAAAAGAGATACTACAACTGTTACCACAGAAATACAAAACATCATCTCTGAATACTATAAAAATCTTATGCACATAAACTTGAAAATGTGGAGGAAATGGACAAATTCTTAGAAACACACAACCTCCCTAGGGTCAATCAGGAAAAAATAGAATTCCTGAACAGACTGATACCAAGTAATGAAACTGAAGCAGCAATAAATAAATTTTCCAGCAAAAAAAGTCCTGGACTAGATGGTTTCAGACCCAAATTTTACCAGACCTACAAAGAATAAACTGGTGCCTATACTACAGAAATTATTCCATAACATCAAGAATGCAGGAATCTTCCCCCAACAAGTTCTACGAAGCTAATATCATCTTGATACCAAAGCCAGGAAAGGACACAACAAAAAAAGAAAACTTCAGACTAATATTCTTCATGAATAAATATGCAAAATTTCTCAATAAAATCCTAGCAAACTGAATTCAGCTGTACATCTAAAAAGTAATCCATCACAGCCAAGTGGGCTTCATCTCAGAGATGTAAGGATGGCTGAACACATGCACATCTATAAATGTGATTCACCGCATATAAGTAGAAGCAAAAACAAAGACCATGTGATCCTCTCAATAGATGGAGGAAAAGCATTTGACAAAATTCAGCAGCCTTTTATGATACGAACTCTTAACAAAATAGGCATAGATGGAATATACCTCAAAATTACAAAAGACATATAGCACAAACCCACAGCCAACATCATACTGAATGGGGAAAAATTGAAAGCATTCCCGCTTAGACCTAGAACCCAGACAGGGTTGCCCACGATCATCACTTCTATTCAACGTAGTGCTGTAAGTTCTAGCGAGAGCTATCAGGCAAGAGAAGGAAATCAAGAGTATCCAAATAGGGAAAGAAGAGGTCAACCTATTGCTCTTCACTGACAATATGATCTTCTATCTAGAAAAGATTCTGCCAAGACACTCCTGGAATTAATAAATTCAGCAAATTCCCAGGTTACAAAATCACTGTACACAAATCGATAGAATTCCTATACACCAACAGTCAAGCTGAGAATCAAATCAAAGACTCATTGCCTTTCACAATAGCAGCAAAGAAAATAAAATACCTGGGAATATGTTTAACCAAGGAAGTGAAACACCTCTACAAGGAGGACTTTGAAACACTGAGGAAGGAAATCACAGAGGATGTAAAGAAATGGAAAAAGATATCATGGATTGGCAGAATCAACACTGTTAAAATGTCTATACTACCCAAAGTGATTTACAGATTCAGTGCAATCCTCATTAAAGTACCAACATCATTTTCTGAAGATCTAGAAAAAATAATTCTACACTTTGTATGGAACCAGCAAAGACCCTGAATAGCCAAAGCAACCTTAAGCAAAAATAACAAATCAGAAGGCATCACTTTACCAGAATTCAAGCTATACTACAAGGCTACAGTAACCAAAACAGAATAGTACTAGCACAAGAACAAAGACATAGACCAATGGATCAGAACAGAGAACCCAGATATAAAACCATCCTCATATTGCCATGTGATCTTTGACAAAGCAGACAAAAACATACACTGTGTAAAAGAATCCCTATTCAAAAATGGTTTTGGGAAAATCGGATAGCCACATGTAGAACACTGAAAGAGGATCTGCACCTCTTATCACTCTCAAAAATTAATTCACAATGGATAACAGACTTAAACCTAAGGCATTAAACTATAAGAATTGAAGAATAAAATGCTGGGAAAAAAATATTCTAGATATCGGCCTAGGCAAAGAATTTATGAAGAAGACCCCAAGGCCAATCATACCAACAACAAAAATAAATAAATGGGACCTGAGTAAATTAAAAAGCTTCTGCACAGCCAAGGAAACAATCAATAGAGCAAATAGACAACCTACAGAATGGGAAAAAATATTTGCATACTATTCATCTAATAAAGGGCTAATAACAAGAATCTATAAAGTACTCAAATCAGGAAGAAAAAAATCGAACAACCCTATTAAAAAGTCATCAAAAGACACGAACAGAAGCTTTTCAAAAAAAGATAGACTAATGGCCAATAAACATGAAAAAATGCTCAACATTCTAATCATCAGGGAAATGCAAATCAAAACCGCAATGAGATATTGCCTAAGTCCAGTGAGAATGGCTTTTATCAAAAAGTCCCAAAACAACAGATGGCTGGTGTGGGTGCAGAGAAAAAGGAACATTTACACACTGTTGGTGGGACTGCAAACTAATACAAACCTCTATGGAAAGTATTATGGAGATACCCCAAAGAACTGAAAGTAGCACTACCATTTGATCCAGCATTCCCACTATTGGGTGTTTACCCAAAGGAAAAACAAGTCATTTTAGACACTTGAACTTGAATGTTTATTGCAGCACAGTTCACAATTGCAAAGATACGGAATTAACCCAAGTGCCCATCAATACATGAGTGGATTAATAACGTGTGGTATATGTATATCATGGAGTTCTACTCGGCCATAAAAACAGGTGGTGAACCTAATACCTTTTGTAACAATCTGGATGGAACTGGAAATCATTCTTCTAATTGAAGTATCCCAAGAATGAAAAAGCAAATACCACGTGTACTCACTATTAAATTGGAGCTAATCAGTCAACATTCATGTGCACATATGGAAGTAAAACTCAACAGAAATCAAGCGGGTGGGAGGAGGAGGACAAGGAGGGTATATTCACACCTCATGGGTGCAATGCACACTATCTGGGTGATGGGCACACTTATAACTTTGACTCAAAAGGTACAAGAGCAATTTATGTAACCAAAATGTTTGTACCCCCATAATATTCTGAAATTTTAAAAAAAGGAACAAAATATAATGGTGCCTCTTTACAAGTATGCTTGCGTTTTTGCCTTAGAGCCATATTGTTCAACTTTGGCTTAGAGCTACCAATATGTACAGAAACATGGTAAAAAAAAAACGAAAGAGAGAGAGAGGGACAGTGCGGTGAGATAGAAACATGTCCAGTGAGCTCTGGTCAGGGATTAGCGTTAAGGTGATTTGTATAATATTCTCAGCATAAGTGCCCATGTGAAAGATCGAGATTGTAACAGTCAACTACAATCTTTATGGATAAAACATTTTTGTAAACCTAAAGTATTATAGAACTGTAACATGTTACATATTGTATAAGTTTACTTACTTTTGAGAGCAAAACCTTCAAATGTTCTTTTTAAAATTTAAAAAGATCTTTAAGGGGACTTCTGTAATCTTAAAAATTATTTTCAGGAAGTCTAAGGTCTGCCCTTTAGTATTAGTAGCACGATTTTGTGTGTAAGGAGATTAAGTGTGATAGTTGCTTTTGGAGGTATAAATAAAGGCAGCACTTTAATAAAAAAAATGTTTTAAAATGTTAGCTCTGTTAATCTTAGTCCTTCAAATGTGTTATACAGTTGCAAATACACATCTGTTGCAGACCAGTAGTATGTATACCTAAGGAGATAAATCATGGAGAAAACTCACAAGCATACAAACACACCATTGTTTTCCTTGACAGATTAAAATTTAATTCTCTCCCCACTCTGTACTTCTCTCCGTCTTCCCCATTATCCTCTTGTTGCATTATTGAGGGGCTCATTAGGACAGTAATTTTCTCTATCAAAAAAAGGGGAGGCATGATACATTATTCTTGAAATGAATGATGGTGGTTACCCAGGTGTTTGCTTTATAATTATTTGCTAAACCAAACATTATGTTTTATATTTTTTTCTGTATGCCCATTCACACGTGTGCATAAAAGAGGTGAAATTTGCATATGAGAATGTGATGGAATGGGATGGAACAGATTTAAACAAATTTAAACCTAGGTCTACTTGAGCAAATTGAAAGGATTATATAAGCAATAAACCCTGATTGTTCCAGCTACTCCAGATTGACTATCTCTGTCTCTATGTCACAAATTGAATGGCTAGAGTGGCAAATTACTAAACTTTTTTTTTTTTTTTTTTTTGCTAGTCTATACAGATGTAAGCTGCACTAGAAAGCTATAGGGCAGGCTCTTTCTATGTCACATGTCACTTGCTTGATACTGGCATGAAGCTCTTTTATAGACCTCAGTTAGTAGAGTCACTTTGTGCAGGTACCACTGCCCCATCTCTTCCAGCCATCACTGTTAACATTTATGCCACCTGTGCATGATTTCAGAGCTAGCTGCCCTGGTTTGTTAAATACTATCATAAATGAAGTCAAGAATTACACATCTTTATTACTAACAAGCAGCTTTTTTTTTCCAGCGCCGACTGGGAGATGCAGCAAAGAAAGCCATCAGCAAGCTCCAAGTCAGGACCATCAAGAAGGGTGACAAGGTAACAGCCTCTTTTCTTTTTGATGAGGAGCTATTCGAAGAAGCTCCTAACAGTTCTGATATCCAGGTAGAAGAGAGGGAAGGATGGAAAGGGAAATACATACTAATAGTTGTCCTATTAAGTGTCTGTTACTTATACTTTTCTTTATTAAATATAATTTAAAGCAGTTTAGAAAAGTACATACAATAGGATAATGAAATATCTGGATAGAAAATCAGAGAAATGGAAAAGTAAGCATACAAAAACATAGCTAAGACCAGGATAAAATTAGTAAACAAGTGCATTACCTCAAATGTGTACCAGAAATGGGTCCCAAATTTAGGTTGGGGTTTTCTAGCAGCCAATGCAAAGAAGGAACAATATTCGAACAATATTTAATTACCTTATTCCAGCATCCCACAAGATAAAAACAAAATGGTTGTTCCTGGTATTATGACCCAAGAATGTTTTTCCGTGAATCCTTGCAAGAAAGACAGCATTATATGCTGAGCTGTGTTCTCCACTTCAGTCTGTAGTTTAAATGCAGGAGTTATAGTAAATCCCTCTGAAATCTGGTGTTTAGAACCCCAGAGCCATTGCAACAGCCTCCGTTACTGTAGAATCATGGAATAAAGCCACAAGGAGAGGGACAGCAAGGCAGTATAGTCCAGGCTTCCAGGCCCCCCATTCTCCAGGAGAAGATTTAGAGCAATGTGTGACAATACATGGCTTTGGGACTCCTTTAGAGACATTAGAAGGAATTCACAATTCCACATGTACAGCAGGTGTTGTCTCTAGTCTGAACAATTGATTTATCTCACAATTTATGTGCTGTTATTATTTTTCAACTATATAAAAACTCTGCTGGGCTTAATAAGATAAAGTTCATTTAAAAACATGACTACATTTAGAGGATATTTTGGTCATTACTTTTCCCCCCTCAATCAGAGAATAACAAAAGCACAAGGACTGTTACATAAGTAACATATTGTGAGGTATTAAAAGAGATTTATATACTTAAAAAAATTGGAACCACTATTTTATGTTTGTATTTATAGTTATTTTATAAACTAGATCCCAGAGGAATGAATAGGTTAAGTATAATTCAGATATTTCTCCATATATGTTATTTCTCATCCTTGAGATTTTGATATGTCACCTTTAATTGTAATTAATAGCAGTATCAGGAATGATACATTAGAAACTGGTTCTCCTCACAGAAGCACTTGCAGTGGGACCTAGAAACAGAAAGTAGAAGTTAGAAGGAATGGAAACTAAGCCAATAGATAGTAAATTATTGATTAAGAAATTGGCACCAGGACAGTTGTTGAAAGCTTCGCTCCAGGCAAGCTCTCTCTGGTTTGTTGCTTGGGTGTTTACACAAGAGTTGAAGCTAAGAAAGTAGACTCATCTGTGCTTCTCTGTTGCAGGAAACAGAGCCCGATTTTGACAACTGCGCCGTTTGTATCGAAGGGTACAAGCCCAATGACGTTGTCAGGATCTTGCCCTGCCGGTGAGTCACTAGGCTGCCCGCTTTGGACTGGGGCGTGCGTGGAGCCTGCCTGCTTAGCCTCCTGGCTTGGACCTACTGGGCCTCGCCTGCCTCAACATTTCCGTGTGTGCATTGCAAACAACCAAAACACTCTTGTTTTTGTATAACCTTTGTCCTTGAAAACACTTTGTCTCATGAAATTAGAAATATTTTTCTGATCCCGTTGGCATCAAAGGAAGTTTACTGCTTTGAACTAGAACCTCATGAGACAGAATTTGATGCTGTGGCCTCCAAGTACAAGTTTTCTTGAACAACAGATCTATGATGTTCCAAATCAATTCTGGCTTTTACCAGTCGTTTAATTAAAATAATAAACTCTTAAAAATATTTTGTGAATGCTCATGAAGGGCTCAGCAATCAGATTATGGTCAGGAGTAAGCAGGAAGCCAAAAGCAGATTCCATTCCCTATTATTTTTTACTAACAAAAAGAATGCAACACTCAAATTTCCCCGAAAATTCCTGAATCGGGGAGGATGCCGGTATATGTAGTTGGGAAAACTCCCCAGGTGATTCTCACATAACCCTAATCCCTCTCCCTAATTGAAATTTACTGTTAAGATGTCTGAATTTTTTTAAAAAATCATTGAAATTAAGTAAATCTAAATAACTTAAATAAAATATTCTAAAGTTGCATAAAAGCCATTCTCCTTAACTGAAAACTCTTTTTAGTGTTTTTGCATGTGTGTGAGGGTCCTAAATTCAAAACTAAATTATGACTTGATGAAAGGTTCTTCAGGCCAGGTGTGGTGGCTCACACCTGTAAGCCCAGCATTTTGGGAGGCCAAGGCAGGAGAATCACTTGAGGCCAGGAGTTCACGACCAACCTGGGCAACATAAGCTAGACCCCATCTCTACAAAAAAAAAATGGTGGCATGCACCTATAGTCCCAGGTCCTCAGGAGGCTGAGGAAGGAAGATCACTTGAGCCCAGGAGTTTGAGGCTACAATGAGCTGTGATCACTCCACTGCACTCCAGCCTGAGCAACAGAGCAAGACTCTGTCTCTTAAAAAAAAAAAACAAAAAGTTCTTAATTTAGAAAGATTGGCTTTCAAAATTCTTACAGACTCTAAAAGTAAATAACATAGAAAAAATACACCACAAAGTTATGAAACGATCCACTTGTTCAAGAAACAAAATATGCCTTTAGAGAATTGGTTTATTAATAATAATCCCCAAAATGACAAAGAGGCGACCAAAAAAAAAAAAAAAAAAGACACTCAGAGACACTCAGATAAATGCAGAAACTCTGAAGAGGAATAGATCTTAATTGAAATACTCACAGGCAAATTGACCGTTAGGAAAACAGGTGTTAGGAATATACGCCCTACTGGCCCCAGCCAAAGCCTGCAAGCATGATTCACTTTCCGCGTAGTTTGTGCATGCCTGACTATCCCTAAGACAAAATCATACATCAGGACACATGAAGATTTGGTAGTTTCCTTCATATGAGGATATTGTATATAAATTCCTTCTAGACATTATACTTAGTGTTTATTTGGTGACTTGCAGAAATATTGGCAAAGAATGGCAGTCTGTGAACTATAGAATACCTCACAGGGTAACATCTTTCATCTCTGCAGTATTTTATTAAGGATTTTGCAAAGCCTCTTAGTTATAAGCAAGTAAAGTGCTTTCCTTTAATATCCTACTTGGAGATTATTTACACCCTATGAGGGTACTACTAATAAAAAAAATATTCAAAGCCAATTAAAGTTAAATAGCTACTTTTTCCTGGGAATCCAAAGAACTTCACAAATGTAATTAAGAAAATCTGTTTTTAAAATTATATACATAGCACTACTTTAGCTCTACAATTAACAGAATATAAAATAATTTATTCATTTAGCGTTATGCCATGAATAAATTTCCTGGTACTGCACTTATGTAATTGCTGGAGGCTACATAATATCCAAGCCATAGATATACCACAATTTAATTTTCCACATCCTTGTTTTAGAACATTTGGCTGATTTCAATTTTTAATTATGACAAATTGCATTAATAATATTTAGATTTTCATGATATATTATTCCAGATCTCCCTTTACAGTGTATTTTTGAAATAGTAACCAAGAAAAAATAGCATTTTAATATTTACCACAAAAAATAAAATTTTAGAAACTTTCATTTTATTTACACCAGTCCTTGCTGTAGGCCAGTTCGTTTGGCTTCAGATTCCTCCTTTTTTAAATAATTGTTTTGTTCTCAGATCATTCCTAGATTTGTTTTGCTTCCAGCTACTTACTGTCCATCTACTTTTATTTCCTTACTGTGGACCCTGCTTTAAATAAAAAAAATACGGTGAACATTACCAAACACAGTTATAGTTAATTACTGTTTGATCTTATACTAGTCACACATATCTACTCTTTGATTAGCTCATACATTTTTTCCATACTGATTTTGAAATCACGATATTTTTATGCCTTTTGCTGGTTTGTGCCAGACAGTTTGCACTAATGGATATTATCAAACAAATGCACTGGCATTTGCTTTTTGCGGGATAATTTTCTCTGGGGTATTATTAAGCCTTTGCTCCTATGAACTTCATAGACTCTCTTTCCCATTATTTCCAGGCTGACTCATCCACAGAATTCTTTGCATCTCCTTGGAGTAAAATCTGTTTCAAAAAATGTTCCAGTTTATCATCTCCCCTCTTTCATACGTTTTTCCTTGGCCTCATAACTCCTGACATACTGGGTACATCTCTTCTCTGTCATTTCCATTTAGGATGTCTTTCCAGATCACGCAGGTATACTCTTGTACCACGACTCTTTCAAAATCATTCTGTTGTTTGTCTCTTTCTGAGACCCCTGCACAAATGATGATTAATTATTACATGACTTCCCCTCTTTATCTGTAGTCATGGTGATTATTAAAGTTAAGTCATGCGCATACACACCTACCATTTCTTCCCCCTCATTCTTTCTGTACCCAGTCCTTCTCCAGCACAGGAAGACAAGACCCCCACCCCCGGGGGGTGAGTGTGAACGTGTGCACCTAATGTGAGGTGGAGACCCACAGCAGCACACAGACCACCTCGGCGTCAGACAGGTCTTACTTCTGTGGTTTGAATTTGATCCTAGTACACCACTAAGGCATTTTCCTAGACACTTTGGTTTTGCAACATCATACATATGCCAAAGTACGCATTATACTTTATTTTAGGGCTGGTTTTTGTGACTCAGGTTAGTATTTGTGATTATGACTTTTAGCCACAAAAGATATTTTATTGAAGTTTTATTGTCTTCTCCTGTACAGAGATTAAATTAGGCTCTCTGATTCTTCCATGGCTTTTATCCCATGGTGTCCCTACTATTCTGTAATGATTATTCATGTGTCTATTTACCTACTCAATTTCAAACCCACAGTGTCTCAGAAAGAATATGAATTCCTTGGGCAAGCCAAAAGTCCTTGCTTGCCATTGTTTTTAAAGCAAAACAATATGTGCATCCTTTCCTTATGTGCCTGTTAAATTCTTTTCCATCTCTATCGTTACAGCGTCTCATTAATTTGACAGTATGTTAGTTTCTATTAATACTACCCGCTTTTCCTTTGATTTTGTAAATTCTTCTTCTCAATTGAAGAAAAAACTAAAAGCTGCCTAGTAACAAGCAGACCCTCATGATAAACTTTTTAGTAACTGAATGCTTCTTTGGAACAACATTTTGTAGCAACTGTATGCAACGAATGGTGCGAAGTAGGAGAGATGAAAAGCTAAATGGCATGAGCCATGCTCTAAAGGAAATAGTCTAGTGGGAGAGACAGGAATTTAAAGAAGTAATCAGGATACGGAGTGGTATGTGCAACAATAATGACAAAAGGAATGAAAAATTTGGAGGAACTAATACCAGGCACAAGGAAGTTAAGAAAGGCTCCGCAGAAAAAAGTAATGTCTTCGTATTTTCTAACAGTGGTTTATTTTTGTCCATTACGTCCTCATTATAGAAAACTCCTAAAATGGATAAAATATTTAAATATCTGCCTAACTCCCTCATGCAGGTGTTAACTATTGCTAACATTTTTATATATTTCCTTCCTTTCATTTCCTATGCCTATTTTTGCAAGTTTGAGATACTACTGTATTATTTAGTATCCTGATCTTTTCACTTACATGCAGAGAATTTACTATAAATAGTATTAGATTATTTGTGGCTCATTTTACCATTCTTTGGCCTTTGACACTATAGGCAGAAGCTGATCTAGCTGTAAGTTGTATAAACCAACCAAAGACCCTGGGATGTTGGTGCTTGTCACACCTGCTCCTCAAGGGTCAGAGTCTTTTCGTGGCCCAATCGGAATTCTCCACTGAGCTAGAACAGAAATGTGCCCTGGCCCCTTTAGCTTATTTCATAATAATCCATCGGTGAGCTGTTTGCGTTTTCTCATCCTATCTCACTATAGAAGGTGAAAAAAGACAGTTTCTCGTATGTATAGTAAATGCTTGGATTGGTTATGGAGCCTGTGGGGGTAGTGTGTCTTGCTGACTTGTTATTGTCGGACTCGGGTTACAAAGAAAATCCTCCAAAATTCAAGTTATCGTCTTTGGTAAACGCTCCCTAGCTTTTAGCTTGTTCATAAACAAATTGCAAATTGAGCTTCCCTAATCCAAAAATCAGAAATCCAAAATGCTTCAAAATCTGAAACTTTTTGAGCACCGACATAATACTCAAAATGCTCCCATGAGCATTTTGGATTTCAGATTTTCAGATTAGGGATAATGCAAAATATTCCAAAATCTGAAAAAAAGTCCACAACACTTCTGGTCCCAAGCACTCTGGATAAGGGATACTCAACCTGTACTTATTTCGTAAATAGTGTTTCCTGGAACAACTCCAGGAGCAGTGTTGTCCATGCTGCCAGGTGTTAAATGAGGTCTTCTGATTTTGGAGCAGGGAGAGATGGTTGAATAAAGTAAACAACCAATAACACCTATTCTGAAATAGTGCTTGTCAAAAAGG